CAAAAGTGCCATTTATTGAGAAATACTAATAATACTGTAATTTTCGGAAAATATTTCTTAACAAATGGCACTTTTGGTAATTACCAAAAGTGCCATTTATTGAGAAATACTAATAATACTGTAATTTTCGGAAAATATTTCTTAATAAATGGCACTTTTGGTAATTACCAAAAGTGCCATTTATTAAGAAATACTTTCTGAAAATTACACACTAAAAAGACAAAATCTGAAATAATTTACATCTTATTTGAAATAATTGCCATTTTTCTATAAAAAGATTATATTCTCTCTCTTTCTAAACAAAATTAACATTTTTTAAGCCGATTGACTTTTTGGTTTTATTTTTTTTTTCTGAATGGTTGTGGCGCTGAGAGTTTATAGAACAAGGGGAACGCGCAAGAAATCGTGAAATCGAATTTCTCAAAATGTTATTCAGAAAAGGTATTATAATACATAAGGAAATGCGTGCGAAAGGAAGGGGGCCCTATTGGGGCATATACATATATATATATATAGTGGAATTCGTCGGTTCTCTCAAACGTGTCCTTATCTGAGATCTGCTGGACCTGGGCGCAGGATGCTGTGTGCGATCGCGTTGTCAAACTCGCTCTATCCCGAGCAAATCTCCGGTCTGGCCTCCCGTGGTGCGACAGCCATTGTTGCTACATTTGGGCTCTCTGTTCCATCTTCCCAGAAAACTATCGAGCTGCTATAACTTATATTAATATTTTGGTGGAGCCCCCGAAAGTCCACTCGGGGAGAGGTCATATCCACGGTTAGGAAATATATACACTCTCTCTCTCTCTCTCTCTTACTCTTTTTTTTCTTTCTCTCTCACTCTCTTGCTCTCCTTTTCTCTCTCTCTTACACTCCTTTTTTCTGTTTCTTTCTCTCTTTCTCTCCTTTTCTCTCTCTCTATTACTCTTCTGTTTTTTATTTCTTTCTCTCTTGCTCTCCTTCTCCTTCTCTCTCTCTCTTATTCTTATTTTCTCTCTCTCTCTCTCTCTCTCTCTCTCTCTCTTTCTTACTCTCCTTTTTTTCTTTTCCTTCTCTATACAAATATGTATATAGTTTAGATATTTGGATATTATAAAGAGAGAGAAAAAAGAAAAGAGAGAGAAAGAAATAAAAGAGAGAAAGAGAGAGAGAGAAAAGAGAGGGAAAAGAGAAAGAGAGGAAAAGAAGAGAGAGAGGGAGAGAGAGAGAGAGTATACACAAGCAAATCATCAAGGGTCACCTTCTCCGTTTCCGCGCTCCCGTGGGAACGTGAGACAGAAACCAGACCAAAGAACTGAATCACAAAGAAACGATCCTAAGGACAAATCGCACGAAGAAGCAACAGGTTCCAGGAAGAGTTTCTTGTGGCGCACGTCCACTTTGAAGTATCTCTCTCGCCAACTATAAGAATCATTCCTGAATTGTCTTCTTCTTCTTCTTCCAACGTTGTCGTTCCTTTCTATATCTACTTCTGTTTTCTGTAACAAGACTTGTTCCCAAGAAGACTCTGAAGATTGTCTTTAAATAATTATCGACATATTTATTTTCACGTAAAAAGAAGAAAGCATTACTTCCATCGCTGACAAATTGCTCGACTCTCTTCTTCTTTTTTTTTAGCATTTCTCAATATAGGCCTTTTAAGAGGCAAAAAAAAATTGCCCATCATTTTTACTTTAGAAAAAGGGAAAGAAAAGAAAATATGAACCTTCAGAATAAGAGAGAGAGAGAGAGAGGAGAAAGAAAATGAAGTTTTGATAAAAAAAAGATGACTTCTACAATGTATATACTTCCTTTAATAAAGACAGTTGACAGAATTTTTGTATTCGAAAATCTTTTTGGTTCGTTGAAAAACAAATACTATTGATACACTATTAATTGAATTTCTCGTTTTTGAATTTCGCGCCAAACAGTTCTCTAAATTGCCGCCTAGATGTCATGAAAGTTCTCTCACAAACGAGATGCAGCGAATAGAGAACACGAATCGTTGTGATAAAAAATTGTTTCGTTTCAGTTGGAAAATTAATTCTATAAAATTCTTCCGACTGGGTAAATTATTTAAAATTCAATTAATATTTAAATAAAGAAATAAAAAAAAAATTTATCGAAAAGTTTTACAATCGTTGAATATGATTGAACAAAATCTGTTCTAATTCTAATTACCCTCCACTTTGTTTAACATCTACAAAATTAAATTTGAATTTTTCTTTTGAATTTCGCGCCAAAATAGTTGTAAAGATTGCCGTCCAGATGTCATGAAAGTTCTCTCACAAACGAAGTGAATTGCAGCAAATAAAATACATGAATCTTTTCAGAATTTTTGATGAAAATTTTTTAATATTCAACAAAAATAGTTACTAATAAATTCTTGTAGAAAAACTAATTAACATTAAAGCGAAATACGATAAAGAAAAATTTATTTTAGGAGGAAAACAGAGTTGCATTAATTAGTTTCTCTACAATAAATGTTTTTTTAGAAATGTACATTTACTTTTTTAATCATTTTTTTTTCACAAAAGAATTAAATTCATTCGAAGGTCGGTTTCAACACTTATCAAAATTACAATTAATATTTAATCACCTGTATACATGTATTCTACCTTCAAATTATTAATGTTTATTTTTCCACCTAAAATGATAGACTTTGAGCATTCCTCAAAAATTCTACGATAAAAATATTTGTTTTTTTATATACTTCTGAAAAATGTAGAAGCATTTGAAATAAAAAATTATTCATACGTGGTATCTTAAACGTCCTGCATCAAATTTCCAAAAAGTAATCTATAGTGAATGAACAGAAAATGATTTACGTGAATATTTTAAATTTTCTACTCATTGCACAATTGACATATACATATTCGGTAAATATACAAAATTTATAATCAATTTGTTAATTTATATAAATCCATAATTATATAATCCATATTTGTATAAAATTCCATGTGAGGATTTTGAGGATTTTAAAAAGCATATTAGGAATAATTCTTTCAAAAAGGATAAAATTTCAGTTGATTTTTTCTCTTTTCTAGTTTGAAGTATTTGATAAACTATGTAATGACAATGGAATGATAGTACATTATGGTGTAAGTATATAGATATAAAAAATATAAATTCCCAATGTTCGGTACCGAAATTGATTCTCATCACATGTTTCCTTAAATTATTTTATTGTTTAACTTTTTTAGATGGGTGATTGCATGGTTCATTGTGTAATATCGCCAAATAAAACCACAGAAGAAGAAGATATTTATGATGATGATGATTATTTTCTTTACGAATTTCTTGAGTCTAAAGATTTGTCTGTTAAAAACGGTTCACCTTGCTCTTCAAATGGAGTAAGAATGATTTTTACAATTCACATTTTTTTAACCTATGATAAATTTTACTTAAATTTTCTTTTCTTCTAGTACTGTCAAGAAGGAATCTGTGTAAATAAAACAACTATCGATAATAGTACTGTCAATGCTATCAATACTACTAATACTACTATCAATACTATCGATACTACTGATATCAATTCTGATTACTGATACAACTGATATCTAAAATTCTAAACTAATACAACTGTTATAAAAGTTGAAAATTGAATTAAACAAATGTTTTATTAATATTCCTAAATAAAAGGTGCTGTATTTTTTAAACCAACTCAAGTTCGTTTGTAATTCAATAAATTCTTTGTTTTAATGTAATTTTGATTCTTTATTCTTCATTGAATTTTCTTGACCTAAAGAGTAATTTTAGTTTTAAAAAAGAAATTTAGCCTTTTCATTTTCTGGTAGTTTTTACTATTGTTGGAGTTTCTGTAATACACTGAAAGTGTATTTTACTAATTTTCACCAAAATTTACTTCGAATGAAGCAAAATTTACAAAAAATTGTGAAAAGTTGCAAAGGAGAAATGAGCAGAAATGCCTCTGACACTTTTTGTCTTTACGAATAAACGAAAAATAGTAAAAGTTACTTAACAATTTTTTTCCTGTCAATAATAATGAACATGTTATATATAACATGTTCATTATTATTGACAGGAGAAAAAAATTTGTTAAGTAACTTTTACCAATAGCGATGATTTACACATGACGTGGAAAATTTAGACGTTTGAAAAATTAATTTAAAAAAAGTCTCTCCGAACATGTCTCAATAAACTATATTGCATGTACGTCCTTGGAATGATTAGGTCCATTGGGGATGATTTCCTGCGAAGGAGATTTTATATACATTAAAAAGAAAGAAGGAAAGAAAAAAATGAAGGTGAAAATAAACAAGTATTTTGTGAAAAATAACTTCCATTTCGTGCCACACGTACCCGTGTTTCTATGGGTTAAGATGTGAGAAAAGTTGACAGGGCTGAACCAATTACAAACACATTATCCGAACGACGGTTACTCTCCCAGCAATCAGTCGTGATTAGTGTTCGTCGACACTCTGTACACGCACGATCGCTCGATAAATTGTAAACTCTTTACACCTGTAAATATACACACATAAATACTCCAGACAAATACATATACGACTTACGTAAAACTGGCTTCTCGGATCTGTACATCAATCAACTATATGGTATTATTACTCCGGAACAAGAAATTTAAAAATAATTTTTATTAATAACCATTAGAGGCCATAATTGAATATATTACATGTTACAATTGAAAGCCGACTATTAGTTTCTCCGGATGTTGATGCGTAACATTTGTAATTTGCACGTTATTTGCAAAAAAGAGAGAAAGAAAAAGAAAAATTGGATGTTATTTCTTTTAATCGACAATGAGAGAAAATTCTTGACTATATTTTGTTTTTCGCACTTTAAGTTTCGACAGATTCAATACCAGTTTCCCACTGTTCAGATAATGGTTCAAAAACAAACTTGACACCCATTTTGAAAAATGGGTTAATGAAACAAAATCAAAAATAAAACATTCTTAAACTTGATCATAGGTCAAGTAAATTGAATGAAGAATAAAGAATCGAAATGACATTAAAACATTTATTGGAGCATTTATTATTTATTAAAACATTTATTGAATCATAAACGAGCATGAGTCCGTTTGAAAAATACAGCATCTTTTTTTAGGCATATATTAATAAATTATTTCTTTAATTTAATTTTCAACTTTTATAGTAGTTGTATCAGTGTTGATATCAGTTGTGTCAGTATTGATATCAGTAGTAACAGTATTAATATCAGTAGTATCGATAGTATTGATAGTAGTAATAGTAGTATTGATAGCATTGACAGTTGTACTATTATCGATAGTGGTTTTATTTACGCAGAATCCTTTTTGACAGAACTAGAAAATAAATGTAAAATTTATCAAAGGTAAAAAAAATGTAAATTGTAAAAATCATTCTTACTCCATTTGAAGAGCAAGGCGAACCATTTTTAACAGCCAAATCTTTAGACTCAAGAAATTCGTAAAAAAAATAATCATCATCATAAATATCTTCTTTTTCTGTAGGTTTTACACAATGAACCATGCAATCACTAATCTAAAAAAGTTAAGCAATGAAATAAATTAAGAAAGTATGTGATGAGAATCAATTTCGGTACAAAAAAATTGGGAATTTGTATATTTAAGATCTATATACTTACACCATAATGTACTATCATTCCATTGTCATTACATAATTTATCAAATTCTTCAAACTAGAAAAGAGAAAAATTCAACTCAGATTTGATCTTTTTTGAAAAAATTATTCCCGTATGCTTTTTAAAATAAAATTAAAAGTACTGGAAAAAAATTAAATTTTTTGAATTCAAAAGAAAATTCTGAATATTACGATGTTATTTTGTTTGGAAAATTCTGAATTTTTGAGTCTTTTTTGTTTGACTCATAAACTATAAAACTACCCCGATTTCTAATACAAAACTTTCAATTTTTTCAATTTCTGACAAAAATTTCTTTTTAAATAACTTAAATCTTGAACAACTATCAGAAAATAAGTAAATTATTTAAAGACTAATTTTACTCAAACATCTCAAAATTAATCTAATTTTAAAAAAAAATGCGTTTACAATTTTCACAAATAAATGAACATCAAACGTTTTCAAATTGAAATTTTATAAAATTTCAAAATGAATGAATTTTTTTGAATGAATTTAATTAGAAATTTTAATGAACTTGGATTTTTGAAAAATTTTAATAATTCAAAATCTTCTAAATTTTGTTAAATTTGCCAATGTATATATATTTAATTAATTATTAAAAATAATGGATTTATAGAAGAATTTTAGTTAAAAACACTAAAAAAAATTGAATTTTGAAGAAGTTACAAATGATTGCAGAAATTCAGTTATTTTCAAAAGTAATAAAATTCTTATCACAAAATTCAATTATGTTCAAAATTTACAAAAAAAATCTCAACAAAATCCCAATTATTATTTTTATAAATAAAAAAATTCTTCAAAATTCAATTATTTTCAAAAATTTTAATAAAATTCTTATCAAAATTTCAACTATTTGCAAAAATTTTCCTTATTTCAACATCTAATTTATAAATTTTTAATATCTCTACTATTTTAATAAAACTAATTAATACCCAAAAGAAATCAATTATTTAAAAAAATTTTTAATAAAATTGTACGCAAATAATTTAATTATTTTCATAAATAATAAAACTCATCGGAGAATTTCAATTATTTTTAATTCAATTTTAATCGAATTTCTTTAAAAATTGTAAATATTATTAAAAATTTTATTAAAATTCTTAACGAGAATTCAATTTCAAAAAACATTCAATTATTCAATAAATAATTTATTTTTCTATTTAAATAATTGAATTCTCGTAGAATTTTATTATTATTAATGTATTAATTAAATAATTAATAATAAATTAATAATAATTAATAATTAATTAATTTTCGAAATTTACCGCATATGTAATATGTCAATTGCGCAATAAGTAGACAATATAAAATATTCGCGTAAATCATTTTCTTTTCACTAAATTTAATAAATTTAAAATTTGATGCAGCAGATTAAAAAAAACCTCGAAGCGCTACGTATGAATAATTTTTTATTTTAAATGCTTCTACATTTTTCAAAAGTATAAAAAATATATTAAAATTATTATCCTAGAATTTATGAGCTTCAAATCAGTGGGAAGGCTGAAAGTGTATCGTTTTAGTTTGAAGCATGAACATTAATAATTTGAAGATTAGAAACAAAAGTACAGGTGCATTAAAAATTTATTGTAATTTTGATAAATGCTGAAATCGAACTTCGAATGAATTTATCTTTTTTGTGAAAAAATGGTTGAAAAAGTAAATGTACTTTCCTAAAAAATAAAAATACTCATAAATTATTGTAGAAAAACTAATTAATATTAATGCAAAATACGATTTTTTAAAAATTTATTTTCTAAGAAAAACAGTATTTCATTTATTTTAATATTTTGTTCTAATGTAAATTTAAAAAATTAATTTTTACAAAATTCATATCACTTTTGTTCGAATTAGTTCAAATTTTTACTAATTCAAATTTAGAGAATAAATTTTGTGACAATATTAGTGCAAAAAGAAATTTAGAAATTAATTTATTTTCCACTTTGCGTTAATATGCAAAACTTTTTCTATTTAAAAAGATAACATTTTTTATTACTTTTTATATTAATTATATTACTTTTTATATTACTTTTGGTAATTCTTGTAACTTTTTACAATTTTCAATATGAAGTAAAAGTAGGAACTTAATTTTTACATAAAACTTTATTAAATTTTTCGTAAATAATTTAATTGTGTTAAAGTATTTTATGAAAATTTTGTGAAAATAATTAAATTCTTTAGAGGAATTCATCAAAACTGTATTGAAATTAATTTAATTTTTCTAAAAAATTTTTATTAAATTGTTAATTAACTTTTACTATTTTTCGTTTATTGGTAAAGACTAAGACTTTAACTAAAAGTGTTAGGAACTTGTGTGCATTTCTGCTTTGCAATTTTTCACTATTTTCTGTAAATTTTGTTGATAGTAAAAATGTACTTTCATCAAATTGCAGAAACTCCAAAAATAGTAAAAAATGACAGAAAATGAAAAGGCTCAATTCCTTTGTTTAAATTAAAATTAAATTTGATTATGGTTAGGTCAAGAAAATTAAATGAAGAATAAAGAATCAAAATTACATTAAAACAAAGAATTTATTGAATCATAAACGAACATGAGTTGGTTTAAAAAATACAGCACCTTTTTTTTGGGCATGTTGATAAAACATTTGTTTAATTTATTTAGCTTTTTATTTACTAGCTTTTATAGAAGTTGCACTAGCAATGGTATAAGTAACATTGGTGGTAGTAAAAGAATTGATAGTACTACCATTGACAGTGGCTTTATTTACGCAGATTCCTTTTTGACAGAGCTAAAAGAAAAGAAAAGTTAAGTAAACTTTATCAGGTAACAAACAATATATTAGGTGAAAAAAGTCTTTCTTACTCCATTATTAGGGCAAGGCGCACCATTTGCAAGGGTCACATTTATAGACGGTATCATTGAGTCAGCAGAATGAGAATTATTAGCTTTCAAATCGATGATTTCATATTTGCTGTCGACACATTTAACAATGCAACCACCATACTGAAAATGTTAAACAAGAAAATAAATTAAGTAGTGTTCAATTTCGGTACACAAGATTAGGAATTTATATATTTTTCACAATTACAGGTACTTACAACAGCAGTAAATGTCATTCCTTTTTCTTTACATAGTTTAAGAAATGTATCCTTCTAGAAAAGAGAAAATATCAACTCAAATTTTATATATCCCTTTTGAAAAAATTATTCTTAATATGCTTCTTAACCCCTTAGCAGTGTAGTCAAAATAAGCTTTTCGTGACACAAATGTGCAAAAAAAAATTTTTTTTTTTAATTACTTGATATTATTATATTTTATGTTTTCGGGGTCGCTGAATCCGAATATTTGATCAAAATTAAAAAATTCAAAATGGCGGCTTAAAAATTTAAAAGTTTCCTGATTTGACTAAAAATGTTCACTTGGGGGGTTTTTGGGGTCGCTGATTTCGAATATCTGGTTGAAATTTTAAAATTCAAAATGACGGCTTAAAAATGGCGACCGAAAAAATTTTAAAGTTTTCGGATTTGGCTAGAAATGAGTATTTGGGGTTTTTTGGAGACACTGAATTAGAATATTGGGTTAAAATTTTATAATTCGAAATGGCGACTTCAAGATGTCAACTAAAAATTTAAAAGTTTACGAATGTGGTTATAAATAGTTATTTGAGTCTTTTGGGGTTTATATTTTTATATATGTATAATATATTTGACGCATATATTATATTTTTATATTTATATATATATATATTTACACAAACTATTTAAAACACCGCTCTTAGTCGAATCCGGAGTCACGAACTATTTAATTTAATTACTATTATTAAATTTTTTAATATAGATCGATTTTGAGTATTTCACAATGTTTTAAAACATCGGACATATTAATTCCTCTGCTTTAAGTTTTAAGAACTAATTTGAGAACTTTAAATTTTTTTTGGTCGCCATTTTGGAGCCGCCATTTTGAATTTTGAATTTTTGATTAAATATTTGGATTTACATAGAGACCTCAAAAACCCCCGAATGAGCATTTTCAGAAAAATTTGTAAACTTAAAAAAAAATTTGGTCGCCATTTTGAAGCCGCCATTTTGAATTAAAAAATTTTAACCAAATATTCGAATTCAGCGACCTCAAAAACCCCCAAGTAAACATTTTTAGTCAAATCCGTAAACTTTTAAATTTTTTTTGGTCGCCATTTTGGAGCCGCCATTTTTAATTTTTGACTAAATATTTGGATTCAGAGACCTCAAAAACCCCCGAATGAGCATTTTCAGCCAAATTTGTAAACTTAAAAAAAAAATTTGGTCGCCATTTTGATGCCGCCATTTTGAATTTAAAATTTTCAATAACGGATTTGGATTCAGCGACCCCGAAAACCCCCGAGTAGACATTTTTAGCAAGATTCGTTAACTTTTATATATCTTTTTTTTCGATGCCGCTATATGGGGGCACGAATTATTTTGGCCTCTATAGACGTCAAACACTGTGAAGGGGTTAAAATCCCCAAAGTCATCATTTGGATTTTTATACAAATCCGTGTGGATTCATATTTATTTCCACGGGATTCTGAGAGAGATTATTTATCAACAGAAGTTTTCCTACTTATTTTATCATTAGGCAAATTTGGTTGGACAACAATATTTTTTTTTTACTTTGGCATCAAAAAAGAGTAGCACTAATCACTACCAAATACATAATTTTATATAAATTATCAAATTGATTATAAATTTTGGATATTTACCACATTCTTGGCCGGAATTGTATATGTCAGTTGTGCAATGAGTAGACAATAAAAAATATTCGCGTAAATCATTTTCTGTTCACTAGTTTAATTTTTGGAAATTTGATGCAGCAGGTTTAAGATACCTTGAAACGCCACGTATGAATAATTTTTTATTTAAAATGCTTCTACATTTTTTATAAATAGAAAAATTTTATTAAAATTATCGTACAATTTATGAGTTCCAAACCAGTAGGAATGCTGAAAGTGTATCGTTCTAGTTGGAAGAATGAACATTAATAATTTGAAGATAGAAACAAATGTACAGGTGCATTGAAAATTTATAGAAACTTTGATAAGTGTTGAAACCGACCTTCGAATAAATTTAACTTTTTTTTTTTTGAAAAATAGATTTTCAGGAATGATATTGCAATTTTTTTAAATAATTCAATTTTATCTAGAAATTTTATTGAAATATTTAAAAATATTTAATAAAACATTGAATTTAAGGATTAAATTAAAATTCAAATGAAATTGAATTGAAATTGATAAAAACTGGAATTGAAATCAAATTGAATTGAAATTAATTAAAAATTGGAATTGAAATTAATTTGAAATTCAAATTGAAATGAAATTTAACTGAATTTGATTAAAAATTAAAATTAGATTATAATTCATGTTAAATTAAATTGAAATTTAAATCAAATTCAATTAAAATTGATTAAAAATTGGAATTTAAATTCAAATCTAATTTAATTGAAATTAATTAAAAATTGGAATTGAAATTAAAATAAAATGGAACTGAATTTAATTAAAAATTCCTATTAAATTGAAATTCAAATAAAATTGAATTGAAATTGATAAAAACTGGAATTGAAATCAAATTGAATTGAAATTGATTAAAAATTGGAATTGAAATTAATTTGAAATTAAAATCAAATTCAATTGAATTTGTTTAAATATTGGAATTGAAATAAAATTTAACTGAATTTGATTAAAAATTGAAATTAAATCATAATTCATTTTAAATTAAATTGAAATTTAAGTCAAGTTGAATTGAAATTGATTTAAAATTGGAATTTAAATTCAAATCGAATTTAATTGAAATTGATTAAAAATTGGAATTTAAATTGAAATTAAATAAAAAATTAGATCAAACTGAACTAAATTTAATTAAAAATTGCAATTGAACTCAAATTCAAATAAAATTGAATTGAAATTGATAAAAATTAAAATTCAATTAAAATTCAATTGAAATTGATTAAAAATTGGAATTGAAATTACTTTGAAATTCAAATCAAATTCAATTGAATTCGCTTAAAAATTGGAATTCAAATGAAATTTAACTGAATTTGATTAAAAATTGAAATTAAATTATAATTTATGTTAAATTGAATTAAAATTTAAATCAAGTTGAATTGAAATTGATTTAAAATTGGAATTGAAATGAAATTGAAATTTGAATCAAATTCAATTGAAATTGATTAAAAATTGGAATTGAAATTGAAATTAAATAAAAAATTTTATCAAACTGAACTAAATTTAATTAAAAATTGCAATTGAACTCAAATTCAAATAAAATTGAATTGAAATTGATAAAAATTAAAATTCAATTGAAATTGATTAAAAATTGGAATTGAAATTACTTTAAAATTCAAATCAAATTCAATTGAATTCGCTTAAAAATTGGAATTGAAATGAAATTTAACTGAATTTGATTAAAAATTGAAATTAAATTATAATTTATGTTAAATTGAATTAAAATTTAAATCAAGTTGAATTGAAATTGATTTAAAATTGGAATTGAAATGAAATTGAAATTTGAATCAAATTCAATTGAAATTGATTAAAAATTGGAATTGAAATTGAAATTAAATTCAAATTTAAATCAAATTAAACTGAATTTAATTAAAAATTGAAATTAAATTGAAATTCAAATCAAATTGAATTGAAATCAAATTAAATTAAAATTGATTAAAAATTGGAATTGAAATGGATTTGAACTGAATTTTATTAAAAATTGAAATTAAATTATAATTCATGTTAAATTGAATTGAAATTGATTTAAAATTGTAATTAAAATTCAAATTAAATTGAATTTGATAAAATTGAATTTAAATGATAAAAATAATTTCAAAGACTTTAAAGTAACAATTTTTTAAATATAAAATAATAATTTTATCACTGAGTTATCTTTAATTATTATAAAACCATGAAGAAGTCAATCACTCCGAGTCTTCGACTCGAAGTGATTGACTTCTTTATGGTTTTATATTAATATGCTTATTAGTTGTTGAATTTTAAAACGTTTAAATTATAAATTTTGAAAATCTTAATTACGAAACGTTTCATTAGAAAATAAAAATATATTTTGGAAAAAATTATTTTTCTTTTTTTGCTCCTGCAAAAATGAAAAAAAATTTTCTTTTCCCTGAATTCATTCCTGACGACTACAGGCGGAGGGAAATTCTCCTCTTGGGACGGAAGCGATGATGATCGCCGGAGGAGACAATGGATTACTTTGCGAATGACGATTCCAATATACAAAAGTTCTTGCGGTTGTTGCGCGACGTTTCTTCCTGGCATTGCAGTCAGGTAGGTAGAGGTAGGTGCGTATACCTGGAAATGGCTAACTACTTATTGTCACCTCTAACGAGGACGTTGAAAAACTCAACTATTTGCAGGTGGGAATGCTGCCAGGTTATGAAAGTATCAATTACCTTCAATGTCCAGTTCCCTAATGAGCGGAACAGGGCAATGCCTTATGTACAACTCTCAAAATGACTTCTCACAGATCCATTTGCACTTTTTCAATCATTAAGAACAGTTAAGATATCGTTGCACACTGCGAATCTATATAGTATATATACTATACAGAAAACTATCTTTCGAAAATCATTTTTCTCCCACTTTCACAATTTTTCTTTGCAAACTATTCAAATTATAGTAAATAATTTGATTACAGTGAATATAATTTGAATTTTACTTCCGATTAGATAAAAAAATTGCAGAAAGAATTTTTTTTACCTGAACTATTTATTCGACTGAATTTTTTTGATTGTACATTGTTTTTGACTGTACATTTTATTGACTATCTACTTTTTGACAGTTATTTTTATTAACTATTTTTTTGACTGTACCCACATAGCACAATAGTATGAGGTAAGGTTATGTTGAGTACTAATCGTAAGGCACATAAGGTTACACGATATTGCTGTGGTAGACCTGAGGTGAACTAAAAACTTCCGCCATGGAGGTAAGGTTACATGTTAGGGTGTGGTGAGTATATATGATAAGGCCATGGTAACCTTACACGTTAAGGTTAAGGTAACCTTACACGTTAAGGTTGATGTAACCTTACACGTTAAGGTTGAGGTAACGTTACATGTTAAGGTTGAGGTAAGGTTACATGTCAAGGTTGAGGTAAGGTAATTATTAAGTTGTAAGATTGAGGTAAGGTTAAGGTAAGGTTGTGATAAATTTACCAGTTATGGAAAATATTGAAAAAATAATTAATAAATAAATATTCAATTAAAAAGTTAGTTTGTTGCTCTTCTCTATTTCGGAAACCTGACATGAAGCAGAAAATTTTGAAAACAAATTTGGGGGGACTGGGATTTGAACCCGGGATCGACGCGCATAAACCTATCATTCTAACTAACTGAGCTAAGTAGAGAACTGGTAGAAGGAAAATTAATATTGCCTTTAAGGAGTTAATCATCTTCTTGGTTCACCTTAAAGGCAACATTAATTTTCCTTCTGCCAGTTCTCTACTTAGCTCAGTTAGTTAGAATGATAGGTTTATGCGCGTCGATCCCGGGTTCGAATCCCAGTCCCCCCAAATTTGTTTTCAAAATTTTCTGCTTCATGTCAGGTTTCCAAAATAGAGAAGAGCAACAAACTTAACATTTTAATTGAATATTTATTTATTAATTATTTTTTCAATATTTTCCATAACTGGTAAACTTATCACAACCTTACCTCAACCTTACAACTTAATAATTACCTTACCTCAACCTTGACATGTAACCTTACCTCAACCTTAACATGTAACGTTACCTCAACCTTAACGTGTAAGGTTACATCAACCTTAACGTGTAAGGTTACCTTAACCTTAACGTGTAAGGTTACCATGGCCTTATCATATATACTCACCACACCCTAACATGTAACCTTACCTCCATGGCGGAAGTTTTTAGTTCACCTCAGGTCTACCGCAGCAATATTGTGTAACCTTATGTGCCTTACGATTAGTACTAAACATAACCTTACCTCATACTATTGTGCTATGTGGGTATAATTTTTCGACTTAAAATTTCTTAAATTTCATTAAAATTAATTAAAAATTGGAATTGGAATTAAAATTTAAATTAAATTGAAATGAATTTAATTAAAAATTGAAATTAAATTGAAATTCAAATCAAATTGAATTGAAATTGATAAAAAATGGAATTGAAATTAATTTAAAATGTAAATAAAATTGAATTGAAATTAATTAAAACTTGGAATTTAAAATAATTTGAAATTCAAATCAAATTCAATTAAAATTGATTAAAAATTGGAATTGTAATGAAATTTAACGGAATTGGATTAAAAATTGAAATCATATTAAAACTCATGTTAAATTAAATTGAAATTGATTAAAAATTGGAATTGAAATTCAAATCAAATTAAATTGAATTTGATTAAAAATTGAAATTATATTAAAATTCATGTTAAATTAAATTGAAATTGATTAAAAATTGGAATTAAAATTAAAATACATTGAAGTTAAATTGAAATTCAGATCAAATTGAAATGAAATTAATTAAAAATTGGAATTGAAATTAATTTGAAATTTAAATCAAATTGAACTAAATTTATTTAAAAATGGAAATTAAATTGAAATTTAAATCAAATTAAACTGAATTTAATTAAAAATTGCAATTAAATTTAAATTCAAATCAAATTGAATTGAAGTTAATTAAAAATTGGAATTGAAATTTATTTGAAATTAATTAATTAATTAATTCAAATAAAATTCAATTTAAATTGAATAAAGGTTGGAATTGAAATGAAATTTAACTGAATTTGATTAAAAATTTGAAATTTAATTGAAATTAAATTTAAATCAAATTAAATTTAAAATTGATTGAAAATTGGAATTAAAATCAATTTGAAATTTAAATCAAATTGAACT